GGGTTTAGGGTCAATTTCGTTGTGCAAAATACAATTTTCGTCGCACAAACTTTACGCAACAAGACAACGTTTTCGTCACTAAACATTTCGTCGCACCAATGCTCAATATCGTCACGCAAAAGACCACTTTACGCGACGACAATGACTGTTCGTCGCGCAAGTGTTTGGCGCCAAATAAAATAAACCCTTACGCGACGATAACGGGTATGGTCGTGCTAAGTTAGAAATTCGAGACAATAGCTGTCGTCGCGCAAGTGTTTGGCGCCAAATAAATATAAAATTATTATTCGAGACGATAACCCCGCGTTTTTCTTGCTAACTTTGCGCCTCGATAACATGTATTGTTGTGCTAAGTGTTCTTTCGCGACGAATATTTTGGTCACACAAGTTTAGAAATATAAAATTATTATCCGTGATAGTTTGAGCTACAAATGAGTTTTTGCGTCGCGCAAGTGTTTCTTGTGCAATGAATTTCTGTGCGGCGCGCAAATCGTAAAATGTAGTAGTGTCTAAAGTAGATAAAAGCCAAAATGGTGTTGACTCTTCTGAGTAAAAAGACCTACCTTCTTGCAAACAGATTGAGCAAGAGAGTGTAACGCTCCGTTTATCCTATCGAGGTTGAAAGAGAAAATCAATGAGACCCACCCCGAAAACGCTTTCTCCTCCCATTCCTATCGTTCTTGAAAAAAAAAAAAAAACAGGCTTTCTCCTCCAATTTTTTTTTTCTTCACCTCAAAACGGAAAAAAAAAAAAAAAAAGTTAATGCCTTCTTCTTTTTCTTAAACTCTTATTTTCTGGTAAGTAATCATCATCATCCATCAATATTTCTTTGCTTTTTTTTGTTTTTGTTTTGTTTTTTTGTTTTCTCAATTCTTTGACAATTTCAGGAATTTCAACACCAAAAAGGGAAAACCCTGTTTTATTAAATTATTATCACATGTCGATTGGTTATATAGAAAATATAGTTTATAATACCATGACAATTATAATTATTATTAGGGTTTCTATGTACATTCGCCTCTCTCTCCTCTCAATCCAAAGCACGTCAGCATCTCTTATCTCTTCAATCCCTTGTGCACCTATGTATTTTTTTTTTTTTTGGTCAACGATCTGTGTTTCTTTTGATGCTTGTATTTTACTTTTGGTTTCATTTATTTCTTATGATATGGTATTAATATTTCTTTTGCATTTTATTGGACTCAATTTGAATTGCCTGAGTCTATCTATGACATCTATGACATTGCCTGAGTTGAAGATACAAAAGAGATTGAGATAGGTCTACATGTTTTGAAATCTATGACATTTGTATCTTTTTGTAATTTCGTATTGTTGTTACTTGTTCTTCTCAAAAGCTTGAATAACATGACAGTGGAAATTAGGCTACTAGGAATAGACATACTATTTTGGTGCGGATATTTTTCTTAATTCACATGTATTTATTTATTGATTTAATATTTTGGTGCAGAAAAATGAAAACGGCAAATCGGGTAAGGTAAATAGAATTCCTCATTCAAAAAAGTATCATAACTGGTAACTAGGACTTTGGGTTGGAGTCAAGTCTTACAAACAAGGGTTTTCTTTTGACGGCACGCTTTTGTATTGGTTTTCTTTTGGTAAATAAACAAGGGTTTGAAAAAGAAAGAAAAAAAAGAATACGAGATCTCTACCCAAATTTCGACTCACATGTCAACCGGAATTATAGATACTCTTGTAGCACTATATACTCAGCGGCAGTCCTGGGGTGGTGCAAGTGGCGTCACCGTACAGGGCCCCGAATTTTTGAGGGCCCCCCAAAAAAAAATATTTATATTTTATATATATTAATATTATAGGAATTGTATATATTACATATCGTGCTAGACATTTGCACAAGAGTGCGTCCGGTGGAGTTGGCTCTACTGCGTATTCACTTAACAAAACTGCCTGAGTTCGATTCTCATCGAAGTCCATCTGTTTGCCTTTTTTTTTTTTTTTAAAATTATTATTTTATTTTAATATACTATTTTTGCATTATAACAACAAACTTTACATAATTATAAACTAGCCCCTTGACACATGCTCACGCATGTGCCAATTGGTTTTTTTTTTTTTTAAATTTTTTTTTAGAATTAAGAAAAGATATCATAGGTAGTTATGTTCCATAAAAGTAGGACATATTATTTGATTTTGTTTTTAATTTTAATAATTTTAATATGAAAAAAATGTGAATTTACCATATTATCCTCATTTAATTAATAATTTCAATTCTTAATGTTTGAATTAACCAAGGGCAATTTATGGTATTTTGAATGTTTCACCATTCTCTGCCTTTTGTTTTATATATATAGATAAATAAAAACAAAAAAGCCTTTGAAAAAACCATTTGAGTTCGATTCTCATCGAAGTCCATCTATTTGCCTTTTTTTAATACTATTTTTGCATTATAACAACAAACTTTACCCTAGGTTCAGGACATCGATTATTTGTTCTTGGACCTACCCCAAAAAATGGTCGGAAGTGGCAGAAATCTCATCCCGAAATCCGGCCAAATTTCAATTCGTGATTTGGGTTATCTACGCTAGAAATTGATCCAATCCTACCCAAAGTCTTTCTTTACGATCTTTGTGCGACGGATTCTACGCGACGAAGTTTCTATCGCGCTGAAATTTGTGCGACTAAAATGTACCACGAAATTCTCATCGTCGCGCAACTTGTAAAATGTAGTAGTGTGTATACAAGTGATATTAAAAGCAATATTGGAGAAGAAGGAAATTGAAGGCATGGTGGAGCTACATGTCTTACAGTTCACAACAATTTCTGGTTTGCACAGTTGACATCAATTTGATCTTTGTATGGTTTTGGGTTTTATTAATATATATTTTTAATTATATATAAAAATGATATTAAAAGCGATATTGAAGGCGATGTACACGGAACATATATATAAAAGTTTCTCGTATTGGCAGTGAAGGAAAAATTGAAGACATCGTTGAGGTACAAGTTTATTGAGGTAAAAGTATTAGAAGTACAACTGCAGCTAATTATTCAGTTTGTGCACTTTTTTCACAGAGAATTGCAATACCCACATTTTGAATGAAGCAGAAAAATCTCCATTAACTAATACCACTTGCATTATTTGATATAATATAACTTTCTAGTACAATCCTTTGAAGTGAAAACAACAGATAGAATTGGACTAAATTTTGTCTCACTCTATCTCCACAAGAATTCATGAACAGAACCTTGTCATGAAAGCACAAGCATCAGCAATACTAAAACCCCACCAAGCCCCCAGCTGGAGCTCCCAATTCTTAGCACCCATGAAGGTTCAGAAGAAGGAACAAAAGAATCTCCTTGAGTTGATGAAGATGATGAACTTTATGACGAAGAAGTGGTTTTAATGGCAATGATAAGTCCAGCAAGAACCATGGGAAGGACAAACCCAGACCTTCATTTTGTCTCATAATATCTTGCATCAGTTTTTCTGGTTGTAGTTATTCTACCAAGAAAAAATCCCCATCAAGAGTCAGTTTTCATGATGATCAGTTTTGACCTTCTAACAACCAACTCTCTTATTTCTTGTTTATCTCTTGTAAACCCATCTTGTACTGACCAAATCCTCACGAGTATGGGAAGGAAACTTGGCACTTTTTCCTGGCATTTAATGGTTATGGGGAGTGGTTTTTGATTTTGCCTTTCTACCAACTCCCCTACATGTCCTCTACCCTTTTTCTGTTGATGTCTTGTCATTGGGGTAACGTGGGCATTGTGGAGAGAAAAATCCTCCCATTTATCTGCTTATTTGATTTTTGAATTAGTGATCAACGGTGATGATCAAACCTTGAGCCCCTTGGAAAAATTTGGAAGTTGGATACCAATTAAATCATTTAAAACTCACTATTTCACATTAAATTACCATTAATTGTAATTAACCTTTAACTTGTGATAATTTATTTTGCAATTGGTTCGAAATGGTCTAGGCTTCTAAAACATCCTGGGATGACTTCCAGTTTTGGTAAAACAAAGCCCAAACCCATGTCATTGACATAGTTCAATACCTAGATGGGCTGATGCGCGGAAATTAGGCTCAATCAAGTTGAAGCTCATTTTGACCAATTAATGAAAAACATGCAATGTAAGACCAAAAAACAAGTAATTGAGATTTCATGGATTGAAAGGGTGAGCATTGTAAAACATCAAAGTTTTAAACCTTGTAATCGCCACGTTACAAATTCTTTTCCTACAACTAGTTTTATTCAACCATTTTGAATTAGGATGTAACTTTTGTTTATCAAGAAATTCTTGTTCGTGTACTCACTTCCTACACAAAACAAACAAACACAATGGTAGATTAGATTCACACGGTCACACCATATAGAGACATGACCAATAAGCGAAACTGATGTGCTTGTGATCTGGTTAAAGGACTTTCTTGGAACAATTTATAAGATGAAAATTGCTAGGATTGTTTGTATATGGGCGTTGGTGCATGCGTCCATATGTATCTATGGTTAGAAATCAATGTGCATGACCAACGATCACACTCATCTTAGTTATAAAATTTATGGCACCTAGGCTACCACTGTTACTAGCATGATTCTTTAATTCATTCCTCAAGTACATAATGAGTTGTACTTGACTTGAATGAGAAAAAGTCTGCACACACCTCATAGAATCAAACTCATGATGAAAATTCAACTATTAATATTGATACTTATCTTGGGAAAACATATCATGTCAATTTCAGATATTGGATATATCTTATTGCACTGAATTTGCACTCCATTCTACCTCGAAATTTTGGTAGCTAGTAAACGTCAAACGAAAGTTTTTCCATTCTCTAGTCGATTTCAAACTATGTCACATTTTCAACCCAAAAAATACTTATATAAGCATGCTTTTGATGGCACACTTTTGTATTGGTTTTCTCTTGGTAAATAAACAAGGGTTTAAAAAAAAAAAGAAAAAAAAAAAGAAAAAAGAAAAAAGAATACGAGATCTCTACCTAGATTTCGACTCATATGTCAACCGGAATTATAGATACTCTTGTAGCACTATATACTTCAGGCTATGTGGCTTTTACCATTGACATTGATGACCAAACCACCATGCACTTCTGGACAGCCAACCACAGGCGTGTGGCATTTCGTGTGTCATGTGGGTCCCTTGTCCAGGAACTTCAATTTGTACGTACCGGATTTGTTGTTCTTTGGCAAGTCTCAAAATGAACCGGTCGGACCGGAGCGAGGTTTTTTCAAGCGAAATGTGTTGGGGAAGGGCTGAAGAGATTGGGCGTGGACTGGTTTTCGGTCTGAGCTATGGCGTATCGAATGGCTGAGATGTATCCGGAGATGGTGGAGAAGCTTGTGATTGTGAGCAAGGGGGTAGTTTGGAACTGATGAACAGACGATGAGCTGTTCAATGTGAATTCAGATGCTTTAGAGATTCTTTTACCAAAAAGTCCACATGATCTACGGCTGTTAGTGAATCGATTTGTGTATAAGTATGATGCTTTCAAGTGGGTTCCTTGAATACTTGGTGGCCAAAAGAGCAGATTCAAACCTTCCTATTCTAACTCAGGTAACTTGAGTAGTCTGAATTTTCTTTCTCTTGAAAAGCATTCTCTGCTTAAGGTTTGTAACTTGTTATGTCTAGTAATTTCAAAATCAACCTCGTATTAATCCAAATTGTAAATGAGGGTAACAATTTGGGGTGACCAGTGACCAAGATAATGTCTTCCCATTGTATTTGGCCTATCAGTTGCAAAGGTACATAAAGTTGTTCATGTCGTCACAACATGTTTGAATGGAGATTGGCTTTAAAGAATCAACTATTTATTTTCAATATGTGCGTATATAACTTCGTATATGCTTCACCAAAAGAACCCGTAGATCTTCGATTAGATTTCCATAGTTGCTCCCAAGACTCACCACCACCATAAACTAGTAACAGTGCTTGTTGTGAGTAAGAGGCTATTTGAATATGATCAAACCACCGCAGTAAGCCATGATTTGACGGAGTGGCCATGTGATGGTGCAAGTGGAGTCACTGTACAAGTCCCCCCGACATTGTTTTTCTTTGTATTATATGATATTAGTATTGTATATTCTAGTGTGCTACATATTGATAGACAAGCGTTTGTTGCGTAGCTAGCCTTGTACTTGTTTTATATTGCATTATAACAACAAAATTTAAATAATTATACTAATTAAAACAAATAAAAACACGTGAAAAATGGGAATTACCAAACTTTAACTAACCAGCAACAATATATATATATATATATATATATCTCCCCCAAAACGCTTTCTCCTCCCTTTCCTATTGCTGAGGCCCAAAAAATCCCAAGCCGGGCCCAAAAATATTTTTGGCCCAGTACAACACCAAGCGGAAAATCCTTATTTAAGCAACATGCCACGCTACAAGCTTAAATGGGCCCAAGCCACGCGAATGCCTGGGGCTTGCTGAGCGGGTTGTGGTGTGGATGGTTACGAGCATTCACGAGGCCCATTGATGAGCCAAGAAGTGGAAAATATCCAATGGCTTGTAAACACTTGGAAAAATCCCACATCAATTAAAATATCCAACACCTTGATCAAATAGGATTGAAAGAAAGTGAAGAAAAAGGGGAGGGAAGCTTGACAAAATTAAGGTTTTCAGTGCTTATAAAAGGAAGCACTTTCTACCCAGCAAACACACCTCATATCTGATCCCAAAACTCACCTTGGCTGTTGCAAGTCTCCCAGCAACCATGAGAATTCATCAAGGGCAAGCATCCCCTCTGGAACCCTTCAATTTCATGCTTTATTTTTCCATTTTCCTCATTTCTCTCTTTCAAAACCCACATCCAGAGAGAGCAAGCATCATCTCTCATATCTGGAACCCTTCGATTTCAAGCATTGTTCTTCCATTGCTTCCCATTTTCTCTTCTATCAAATCACCCAGGAGCCTGGCGAAGCTTTTCGTCAAGTTGCTGGAAATATGCTAAAGCCACCCATGCTTCCATCTTTTTCCTCTCTTTCCATAAACACACATCCAGAGAGTAATCATCATCTCTCATCCTTGAAACCCCTGCAATTTCGAGCCATATTCCTCCATCTCCTCCCATCTTCTCTTCTGAAAATTGCAGCTCCTTCTCTCTTTCATGTTAAACTCATGAATGCTCAGCTTCCATGCCATAAGCTTCTCATGCCAAGCCAAGAATTTATCTGTAAGTGACTGTTGGTTTCATTGGTGAAGAAGACCAAAGTGTTTTCTAAGGCTCAGCAACCCTTTTGAAACACTCTTGGGGCCTGATCCTTGAACTTAGACTCAAGGGGAAATTTCATACATGTTTCTCTTTTCGGCAGCCCAAGCCCATTCATCAGGCTGCTGGAATAAAAAGACCCCTACACCTATCGTTCTTGAAAAAAAAAAGGCTTCCTGAAATAAGTTTTTTCTTCCACTCAAAACAAAACAAAAAACTTCATGCCTTCATCTTTTTCTTTCAATTTTAGGAATTTCAACACCAAAAAGGAAAAACCCTAATTCCTAAATTCATAAAGACCATTGAAGATCAAATAGTCATATTCAAATCCTTGTATGTATCTAAATTTTAATATATATATTTAATGATTTATTTTATTAAATTATTATCACTTGTCGATTGATTATATAAGAAAATATAGTTTATAATACTATGACAATTATTAACCTACATAAGAAGGTCCTTCTGGCAAAGCAGCAAGTTCAGTGCACAATACATCCAAACGTCTGTAAATATTTTAGGGAAATAGCTCTAAATGCCACCATTTTGTTAATTTTAACTGGAAATACCACATCTCCCCACAAATTTTGCAAATATCACCTATAAATACATACTTATTGCCCACTTATTGGCTAGATAATACTTTTGGTCAGTTTTTGGTTTCTTTAAGCTCTCTCTTCGCGCGCTCTCTCTCTCTCTCTCTCTCTCTCTCTCTCTCTCTCCATCTAGCTAACTACACCTCTTCTCATGAAGAAGAAGATCAAGAACAACCTACAAAACCCACAGCTTTGCCCTCAAAACCCAGTTCTTCCTCTTCCTCTCTGTTTTCTTCTTTACCCAAATTCAAACCCCAACTTTGTATCTCTTTGAATCCCTTCTGCAACCTAAACAAACCCAAACAAAATCATCTTTTCTAAATATGATAGCATGTCTTGGCATTAGGTGGACATTGTTTTAGCATTTTTGTCCAATTTTGGGGGTTTTGAAGTTTGGGCTTACATGCCCTCTTCAAGAACAGCTTCTCCAGAAAAAGAATTATTGGGAATATGTAAGTTTTGATGTTAAATTGAATTTGATTACTTAAATTGGAATTGTGATTGATTTCGTCTGTATTTTGTGTAGAAAGTGAAGTATTGGGATTCATTTTGTTTGTCTGAAACAACAAATGTGTTTGTTCTTTGTTGATTGATTCTTGCATTTGGTATTGGGATTTTCTATGAACCTGTTATGATTATATCATAGTGAGGTAGCATCGTTGATTTGCTATTGCAATCGTATTGTGGTTTTATTGCGGTTGTATTGTAGTGGTATTGCTTTTGTATTGCTATGGTATTGCTGTTATAGTGATTTTTTTTTTTGTTTTATTGATATGTTACTGTAATTTAATAGGAATCTATGTTGATATCATTTTTCGTTATCTGCTTGTGATTTGTGTAAGAGTTGAGATTATTCTTGGCTGAAGTATTATTTACAATCTCTCTCTTTCTCTCTCTTTGCTCTTCGTATTTTTCTCAACATTTATGTGTTAATTTAATGCCTTGTATTTTTTTGGAACCATAATCATTAACAATCTCATTGTTTCTTTAAAAGATTGCTGTGAAATTGTTACTTCATTTTCTTCTTTCCTTTGTTTTAAGATATTTTTGTTTGGAGAAAAAGAACTCTGTTTTTGTAATCTAAAAGACTAGGTACCTATGTCCCACAACTTGGGACTAATTGAATGTGCTTTTTGATATTGAAAGGAAGCTGGCATCTTTGGTTGAAAAAAATGAAGGTGTTACTGCTGAAGTAATTTCTACTTGATTTCAATTTACTGGAGCTCAACATTTGGGTTTTTGTAGCTTGAGTTGGCGTATAATTTAGGTTCGCTTTTTGCATGTGAGTGAAAAATACGAAGAGCGCAGAGAGAGAGAGAGAGAGAGAGAGAGAGAGAGAGAGATCGTAAATAATACTTCAGCCAAGAATAATCTCAACTCCTACACAAATCACAAGCAGATAACGAAAAATGATATCAATATATATTCCTATTAAATTACAGTAACATATCAATAAAACACAAATAAATAAATAAATAAATAAATCAATATAACAGCAATACCATAGCAATACAAAAGCAATACCACTACAATACAACCGCAATAAAATCACAATATGATTGCAATAGCAAATCAACGATGCTACCTCACTATGATATAATCATAATAAGTTCATAAAAAATCCCAATACCAAATGCAAGAATCAATCGACAAAGAACAAACACATTTGTTGTTTTAGACATACAAAATCAATCCCATTACTTCACTTTCTACACAAAATACAGACGAAATGAATCACAATCCAATTTTAGTAATCAAATTCAATTTAACATAAAAACTTATATATTCCCAACAATTCATTTTCTGAAGAAGCTGTTCTTGAAGAGGGCATGTAAATCCAGACTTTAAAACCCCCCAAAATTGGACCAAAATGCTCAAACAATGGCCACTTAATGCCAAGACATGTTGTCATATTCAGAAAAGACGGTTTTGTTTGGGTTTGTTTAGGTTGCAGAAGGGATTCGAAGAGAGACAAAGTTGGGGTTTAGATTTGGGTAGAGAAGAAAACAGAGAGGAAGAGGAAGAACTGGGTTTTGAGGGCAAAGCTGTGGGTTTTGTAGGTTGTTCTTGATATTCTGCTTCGTGAGAAGATGCGTAGTTAGGTAGAGAGAGAGAGAGAGAGAGATGAGCCGGCCGATCCTAACATCATTTATGAGGAGCCGGACAATGAAGCCTCCTCTTGAGAGAGGAAGATAGAACTGTGAGATAGAGTTGAGAGAGAGAGAGAGAGAGAGAAAGCGAAGAGAGAGCTGAGAGAAACCAAAAAACTGACCAAAAATGTTATCTGACCAATAAGTAGGCAATAAGTATAGGTGATATTTGCAAAATTTGTGGGGAGAGGTGGTATTTCCAGTTAAAGTTAACAAAATGCTGGCATTTAGAGCTATTTCCCAATATTTTATAATACTATGACAATTATTAACCTACATTAAAATTGAATTTTAAATAGATGTTAGGTAAGTTTATATCTAGAATATAAGAGTTATAAGCGCCTGTGTCACAACAACCCATTTAACTACATATCTTATTTTTATTTATTTTTTGCTTTTGCATTTTATTGGACGCAATCAGAATTGCCTGAGTCTATCTACTATAGGTGGGCATTCAAACTGAAGAACCGCAAAATCAAGTCGAATTGGATCCAAAAAAAAGGGCAAAAAATCCAAAGAAGGTCTGTCCTCTCAGTTTTTCAGTTTTTCAATTTTGCAGATTTGCAGATTTTCAGTTTTTCGTTTTGCTTTATTACTGCTGTCATAGGCAACTATTTTGAGAAATTGGCTTGCATAGGGTTTTTTGTTTTTTCGTGCTGAATCCAATGATGCAAAGAACGTCAAAATTGGGCTAGTGGGTAAAGATATGCTATTTTTCTTAATTCACATGTATTTATTTATTGATTTATTATTTTGGTGCAAAAAAATGAAAAAGGCAAATCGGGTAAGGTAAATAGGATTCCTCATTTAAAAAAGTACCATAACAGGTAATTAGGACCTTGGGTTGGAGTCAGTCTTACAAACATAGTGGAAGAACCAAATCTCTCTCTCTCTCTCTCTCTCTCTCTCTCTC